GCTTAGTAGCAGGACCGGCCCGTGGGGCGAGGGTGGGAGAGTGGAGGGGCGCTACTTCTGCCTGGTCTCACCTGTAGCCTCTGCTCAGCTTTTTCTCGCCCTCCGGTCATCCTTGCGCATACCCGCAGCAGTGGTTTTGCTCGCCAGTGCTAATCAGTAGCTTTGCAAAAACCTGTATAAAAGGGTTTATGGTGTAATAAACTACAGAACCGACCCAGAACAGACGTGGGTCAATGTCCAAAAGTGTAACCAGGTCTTTGCCCCTGGTGTCACAGTTATCCTGACTTTTTTTTTTTTTCTCCTAGTCTGTTGTGTAACCTTTCAAGCATATAAGCCTTCTCTTGCTGATGTAACCAGCATATCCTTTCTTGTTTCCCATAAGCAAGGCTTTCCCAGAGGTGACCAGTCTTAGAGTTCAGGATGTATCCAAGCTAAGCAACCCTTCCTCCTCCCCACCATTTTTATTTTACTTATACAGGAAAAAACTGCTGCAACTTCTGTTGTAGTGAGAGGAAGAGGTAGAGAGGAAAGGGCAAATCCTCTTTCTTTAAATCTGGCTCTTGTAGTTCCAGTTTCTTAAAAGGATGACCATCTTTCTCCCTGAGAAATCCACTACTTCTGCAGTGGTGGATATTGTTGATCCTACTGGTTATCAACCTCTCAGTCCTGGGAGGAAAGAAGTGCAGATCATAGGGAGAAGGGTGATTGGTGGGATAAATCTGCCTTCCCACAAAACTCAAGTAGCCAGCAATGGATGTCTTTGCGGACTGTTCTCTCTCCTTGCTCTCTTCATTAGCCTGGTGACCACCTTGGCTTTCTGCAACATCACAGTAAATTTTTATCTTTCCAACAAACACTGTCATGCCAGCAGCTAGAAGGGAAGTAAATGATTGGACTAACAGAAGTTAACTTGTGTTCAATTTTTGGAAGGGGCGCATAGTAATTCCTCTCTTCCTTGCTCTAGTTCCGTGGAAAAGGGACAGGAAGGTTTATGGCTGTGAGGGCATCTGGCTAAAAGGCAGGGTACATGTTATGCTCAGGCTTTGCACAGGCTGCAGAACTTGGGGACTGCAGGCTTCCCAAGTTCTTCACATGCAACTTGAAGGCAAGAACCCTTTTTTTTTTATAAGAGAATGGATCCAAACTTGGTCTCCCTCAGTTACAGCAACAGAAAGGCAAGCAGCCCCTTGACAAAAGAGCTCTGCTGCTGTGACTAAATGAATCAGTATTAATGGTTATACCTGTACTGATACATTTCCTACTAGGTAGGCTCTGACGCATGGACAGGGAGAACAGTTCCTTCCCTTTGCTGTTCACACGTCCTCCCTTTCAGGTGCTCCCATCCTGAGCTACAGAGGCAGCTTATCTGCTTGAACCAGGATGCTTTACAACTTTGTGATTACAAATAGATACCATATTTAATTTTCCTTAATATACCAGTTTGTATCATGCTTTTCCTGGCTGTGGCATGTCCCAGATCTCTCCCTATGAGAGGGGGAACCTCCTACTGAGGTTTTTTTTACCACATTTACCTTCACAGTAAATGGTGCCTGCACACAAATGCAAATTTCTCTTCCTATTTGTAGTTGTGAAGTATCTTGATACTGGTGTGACTGAAACATAATAAGCAACACGTGTAATTGTTATTTTAAACACATTGGTACCTCTGAAACAAACTTGTGCCAGCAAACAAGATGCATGTGACTGGCCTTCATTTTCATAAGCACGACCGTTTTTCTTTCTGTGGTTCTCCGTACAGATTCATTAATAGTTTTTCTCTGCTGGCTTGGTGGAGGTGTGAGGGGGGTAAGCATGTTACACCTGAAGGAGGGGAGCTTGCATGTCTTTAGCTTAAGTAGTAGCAGGTTGCATTTGTTCCCACTGTGTTGGGCAAGATGGTGACCATCACAGATGGGCTGGGTTTTTACCTCATTGGGTGCTCTTTGAGATAGCGTCACTTCAAGAACATACATGTCTCACTCTTAAAGGCTATGTGTATTGTTCTGAATCTGTCGGTTTCCATGCCTTTGGGGACTACTTGATGTTCTCCAGGGTGGGTGTCCATCCTTTTGGAAACTTGGCAGTTTCCTTGTAAGGATTAGTGTGGTGTGCGTGAACTTGGTTTTCCAAGACACTTTCTGCAGAAATCTTTGCTCGCATGTCTCCTTCCCTGCATGTTTTTGTGTTCTCTCTCTCAACAGATGGGAACTGCTCAAAACAACAGTGGCCTCAAAAAACTCCATGCAGTGGAGCTTGACCTGTGTAACAAGGACATGATGGCAGACACGTTTGATCACAGCATTATTTCTGTTGGAGAAGAGGAAGTAGCAGGCAATTTCCAACGTACTTTTCCAACACGAGAGTCCCTCCGATCCCCTCGGGGCTCTGTTGTGAGTTTCCATAACATCCAGTACTCCGTTAAGCAGTCCAATGGATTCCTATGTAAACGGAAAACTGTGGAAAAGAAGATCCTTCATAATGTTTAGTAAGTTCTTGCTTAAATAAAATACCGGAGGGGAGGAATTAATCTGCTGCTGTGAATCAGTGACCTCAATGTCACCTTCCAGATCCAGCTGTGCTGGTAAAGAAATTACTACTCTCCTGCCAGTCCGCAGTTCATGTGAGCACTTTCTAATTTGCTTTGAGGCAAAATAGCCAGGATATAGCTGGAGCAGTTTCAGTTATTGATCTGAGCAAATTAGGACCAAACTTGTTTGAATTTTTTGCCAGAAGATACGAGGGTTCCCTTAACTATAGTTCAAACTGCTGCTGGAGGAAATGAGCAGCAGAGAGCAAGCTCAAGATCCAGCTCAACAGGGAAGACACTTAATTTCTGTCTTTTGTAGATTGCTTTTTATGTCCAGCTCTGGTTCTGTTCTGACCGGCAGTCTGGGACAAGAAAGGAAAAATGCTTACTGATTTCAGGTTTAAGGAGAAGTTTTTAATAATCTCTAAGTTTTCCTTTCAACAGCATTTTGTTCACACCTTACCTCTATAAGCTGCATGTGAACAGTCCTCCATTTGGAAATAACTCTTTCCTTCTTCCAGTGGCGTTATGAAGCCAGGCTTGAATGCTATCCTGGGGCCAACAGGGAGCGGTAAATCTTCGTGAGTACTTTCTTCTGCTCCTTCCAATGGACAGTCAGCTGTTCAAAGAGGATTTGGGGTTCTGAGGGTTGGGGGAGAGGTGAGGGATCTGCAGGCTCAGACCTTTGCTCCCGCTATCAGCATTGCTGGAGTTCTTGCCCTGCAGCAGTGTCACACCCTTCATCTGCTCCACTTGGTGGTCCATATTACTTGCAGTCACCTTTGGTGGTGGCCTGAGTTAACACACCAGGCTGAACTGGGGTGACTGAAGCTCAGGTGTAAGCTCTGTCCTAGACCCGTAATGGGGTGGGAAGGGGTGCAGGCTCCCTTGGGGCAGGACAGATGTCATCCCCTGTGAAGTCACTGCAGCAAGACTTCCTTGAAGATGCTAGTCCAAACCCCTCCCTGAATACTGACAGGAATATGGTGTAATGTCAGTCTGTAGGATGCTCTGGATCCTTACTCCAACTTGGCTGTGGCCTGGGTGGTGGGAGTGCCCATGTGCTTGAGTTCTTTGGATGAAAGCACAGAGAAATGCCATGCAGACTATCTCCAGCCAGTGCTGATGCTGTTTTATCTCCTGTATAACCATGGCAAGAGACCTCTTTGTCACTCTCTCCCTTTCAGAATGTCAGAGACTGGCAAACATGGCCAGGATTCACACAGGCATGTCTTTGTGGTGACTCTTGATCTTCCTCTCTAAGGAGACTGCTGGCTAATCAAGATGTTTTCAAGAGCTGCACTTCATCACGGCAGTGTTCACTTAACTAGCAGACAGACTGGCCTCTGTGTTGGCCGTCAGGAGAATCCAGTGATATGTTAAAATTACTTTATAGAATTAATCTTAACTCTAGTCTTCTTTATATCAGTTTGGATTAATTCCCTTGAGATCAAAGCAGTTACTTCTGTGCTCCCCTGGCTGGAGAGCAGACTGCAGCTACTTGGCAAGGTGCTTTTGTCTCTGAGCATTTGAGGTTAACTTTTCATACGGAAACTGAGTTTATGTCTGTAGGGGGTTGACTGCTGTGAGTTGTGAGAGTCGGTATACTACCATATGGCAGTGGCACACCTTGGGCTGGAAAATCCGGTATCTACACCAGGCTTTCTGTACAAAAAGCCCCCAGAGTAGAGGAGGCCCCTTTCTGCACCCTTTGGTTTGCAGCGTGCTGTGAGCAGGCTGTAACTGCAGTCCTGACTGGTGGTACTTATTCAGTCAAAGGTAGAAGCAGCTGTTACAGCAAAACCTAATGCCTGGTGTTTGTCTGAAGTCTCCTAGATGTGCTGGCTGCCAGGAAGGACCCAGCAGGCCTGTCTGGAGAAGTGTTTATAGATGGCATCCCACAGCCTCCAAATTTCAAGTGCATCTCAGGATATGTTGTGCAGGTGAGTAACTGCCTTCAGTGGAGGCCTGGGAGCCCTTGGGAGGGAAGACTGCATATAAGATGAGCAAAGCATGAACTACTAGGTTAGGTAATTTTCAATGATCCCCTACAGAGTCTAATTTGATAACTCAGATGTTACAGTATTTAGTATTATTCTGGGATATGGAAGACAAGAGGATGAAACAGTTACTCCAGCCAAGTCAAGCACAGAGGTGTTTGTCTTCCCAAAGCCACATGGATGCCCAAACCATTGGACTACTGTGGCTTGTTCTTTGGGCTCTGCCCTGAAGTACTAGCAAGGGTTTAAAAAAATAAAAAGGTGAGGTAGAAATCCACAACACCCAAAATCTCTTGTTGTAAAACTCAGAAGCAGTTCTAGCTGTTGGGAGTATCTTCAAGCTATCAGACAATAATTCTAGGAAGTAAATAGATCCCTGCTGTTCTTCCTCTGATTCTGGCTGGCTGGGAGAGAGCTTTGTTCCACTCGAAGACAGGAAAAGCTAACTGAATCTGCGGAAGTGGGTGGAGGCCTGGACCAATAATAGACCCTCAGAGCCCTGGGGGAGCTGAGAAGGGGATTCTTGGCATCCATACGAGCAGCCAAATCTGGAAACCATCCAGGCTTCTGACTGCAGGCAGATGTGAAATAGGCAGCTTTTCTGAAAGCTGCCAGCTGGGGGGCTCTGGGATGACACATGAAGACACATGATGAGACTGATGCTGAGTCTTGATCCTGCAGGTCAAAGATCCTCAAATCCTCAGGGTTTCATGAATGGCTAGGAAGTTTCTTGCAAGTTGTCCCAGTTTGAGACATTTGTCTCTCCAATGTCCAAAGTAACCCAACTTAACCTTAAAACAGGCAACTAGGTGAGCCATTAAATGGTCTCTCTCTCACCTCACCCCTGTGCAGTACTCCCTAGATCAATAAAGATGCCCCAAAGACTACGAACAACACTTAAGACCTAAACACATAAATATATACATACTTATAGGGTCAATTTTATGCAGATGAGCATATAGACATGCTAAGTCATGTGTCATCCTTATAAAACTGCTGGTGGTCTCTCCATTCATGCCTTGCAAGTGAGGCTGTCATGCCACAGTTTGTTACATTTGGTGTTAAGGTAGCTTAAATTCACAATTTAGTTTCCAACGTGGTGATCCACGTGGTATTAGTGGATCTGAGGATGGGGGGTGGGAGGCTAGGGTTAGAGGCTGAGGGTATGTAGGAAGGGAAGTGATGGTAGGAAATTTCTAAACCAGCTTTGGCAGCAAAGCCAGTTTATCATAACACTACACCCTGAATAATCCATCGCATACTTCTAGCACAGCAGCATGTTCAGTCTTCCTCTGTTAAGTCCAGCGCCAAACATGGTTGGCTGGCACATCTTTTGTGCTGCTGATCAACCACATCTGATGTGGAAGGAGTCCCAAAGCAGGGAAGAATCTGCTGCCCTGCAGCTTAGGGGATGTCTTCCAAAAGGACACTAGATTTGAAAGGTCTTAATCAACAGGCATGTTCCTCAGCAGCTGCCCAGTGTTGCAGGCCTTCATCCATCATATGGTGGGATGCAGAATTTGCTCAAATATCAAAGCAGGGGTGATGGAGAGGCATGGAGTTCTGGATAGACCTGACGTCAAGTCTGTTTGGCTTATGGTTGTTACAGGTTGGTGTAGGCTGCCCAGATGTTTGTCAACTGGATAGATTTGATTCTTACTCAAAATGCACATGACTGTTGAAGCTTTTCTAAAGGGGTATAGAATAAGGTCTTGTGCCCAAGAGTTATAGATAGTTGAGACATGGAAAAAATCAGGAGCATCTTAGTTCAATACTCTTGTTTCTCTGAGAAGCTGCTGCCAGCGAGGAGCTGGGGAGAGCTCCTTGTTGGCAGATGAACTCGGTAGGTGCTCTGGAACACAGCAAGCTATGGCTTGTAACCAGAAACGGAGCCGACTTGGGTGACTCCTTGAGTGTCTCTATCTTGAACACTGAGCACTAGCAGTGTCCATTGGCTTCAGCTGGACTGGAAGAAATTTAACTCTTTACAAAACCAGCTACCTGCTCTGCCTCCCTTTGGCTGTTAAGGAAAATGCATGTGCAGGAGAAAACGGTACTGTCAGCCCTTGAACTCCTGAGCCTTAAAGCAGGCTGTGGTGGTGCTTGGTGTAAGCTGGGAGCCTGCAGAGCTGCATTGTCTCCTTGACTGCTACTTAGTGACCTTGAATTTCATATCATGTAAGTTTTGAAGCAAGGGTTGTCCCTCAGTCCAGTTTCCCCTGTTGTCCACAAACAGCTTATCCAGCAAGTGCCACTATAGGGACTCTGGTGCCCAGTTAGGCAGCTGAGAAGGGTGCTTTCCAACTGTCCATTTGTACTGCTTTCAGGATGATGTTGTCATGGGCACAATGACGGTGAGGGAGAACCTGCACTTCTCTGCTGCCCTGCGACTCCCCAGCTCCATCAGTGTTAAAGAGAAGGAAGAGCGAGTCACCCAGATAATCAGCGAGCTGGGTTTAAGCAAAGTGGCTGATGCTAAGGTGAGCAGTGAGCATCTTTCTCAGAAATCATACTACCTCTGAAAACTGAATTACTTGACTCTGGGCAGTATGGCATATGTACCGCAGCTATACTAAGCCAAGCAGGGACCTGACTAAACCATAGTGCATGCAAGAAATCGGTCTCCACCTCAGGAGGTAGCTTGGAAAGAGGTATGTGTATTTGCTACTAAAAGGGGAAGATTTTGGACAATGGCCAGCATATTGTGTAAGTTCAGAGGGAAAAAAAAGTCGCCTAGTCATTGCACCTTGGAAAGCTGCTCAGTCACTTCCTGGCTTTGTGGGACAAGACAGGGATATTGTTTTGACAGTGCTGAAAGCTGCGAGGGATGGAAAGCTGGGCTGTGACAGAGAAGTCCTGTGCAGAGCTTGTTCCTCTCGGCAGCATTCTTACTCTCATTTTACTTTACCGCACTCTTACTTGAGCAGCAGGTGAGCTACCAGAAAAAGGCATCCTTGAACACCAATGCCACCTCTGACTGCTGCGGCCTTGCTCTGGCTCTTCCTTGTCAGTGTCATCCTTGTTCTCTGAAGCCATAAAGTGCCTGGTACCCCCGAAAATCAGACTCTGCTTACTGCTACACAGTCCCTCACACTGAGTCAGACCCATCATGTGCTGCTGGCCCTAGAGTTCACTAATGGGACTCTGAAAATTAAAAGGGCTGCTGGGTGTGGAGAGCGCTGAACTACAGAGCATGCACTGATTAGGTCTTCTTGCAAATACATGATTTATTCTGTTTGTAGGTAGGAACCGAACTGATCCGAGGAGTGTCTGGAGGGGAACGGAAGAGAACCAACATCGGGATGGAGCTCATCACAGAGCCACCAGTCCTTTTTCTGGACGAGCCAACAACTGGCCTTGACGCCAGCACAGCCAATGCAGTCCTCATCCTTTTGAAGAAGTAAGAGTCAGTTTTTTAGGGCTCTGCTGCAATTTTGTTTTCAGATCATTGGTTAAAAGAAGCAATACTGTTATGACTAAGTAGCTATGGTGCTCTTTTTTAAAAAAAAAAAAAAAAAAAGCTAGACAAATAGACTCAGAAGTGGTAGTGAATTATTTATTTGGGTCTTGTCCAAAGCCTTTTGAAGTTGATGGGAATCTTCCCACAGCAAGCATTGGATTGGAGCCCAAAAAGCAGATGTAGCTTGGACAGTTTCCCTTTGCCACAGGGAGGGGTGGACTGGGAGGTCAGGCCTTGTAATCGTAATTTCTTGGACTTACAGTTGAGTCTGTTACAAAGTCTCTTTCTCCACCCTGTCAACAGCCTTGAACTCAGATCAGACTTCACCTGTAGATTTATCCTCACTGTTACCCGCTGTTTACCTTCATCTCCTACGTTTTGGAGATGAACTGTCTTCTGGTACTAAGAGGACCAAACAAGGCTTATTTAATGAGTATGAGTTCCTAACCCTCCTCCTGAGTTTGTAGCATGTGGCTGGTCTTGCTTGGGAGGACATTTTACAGTGATGTTTGTGGATAAAGGTCTTTGATCAGCAAGGATACTTGTTGGTCATCACTGCTAAAGCACTTGAAAGAGCATCTGACAAACCTGAAGAAAAACTAGTTTTGACTTTTCTAGAGAGTAAATCTTCAGCAGAAGAGCTAAGAGAAATCTCAGCTGGCTAGACTTCCAGAGCCTGCTATGTAAAGCCTGGTACTGCCACTGAGTGCAGTAGGACCGTTCCAGTTAGTCAAGTTGAAGACTGGTATAGAAAACATGTAAGGAGGGTTTATAGACAGCTGTGGCCTCAACCTTTGCTAGTTACAGACAACACCATACTTTGTCTACCCGAACTGCAATGATGCTGTCTTGTAGTGATGGCTGCTGTCTTGAAGCTCTTGCAGGCAGCATCTGACACACTGGCAGAGAAGGGGGAACTATAGCTTTTCTGGATCGAGACCCTGGGAAGTTGACAAGTATTTGTCTTTGATTTGGAAACGTATTTTTTGTTTGGGTTAACATGACCTTTCTGAAATGCAAAGTGTGGTGTATTTGAGAAATGGGGTTTTTTTCTATTTCAGGCTCTCAAGAAGAGGGCGAACCATCATATTTTCCATCCATCAGCCCCGCTATTCCATATTCAAGCTGTTTGACAGTCTGACATTACTAGCTTTGGGAAAGGTGCTGTACCATGGTCCTGCGAAGCAGGCACTGGAGTACTTTAGTTCTATTGGTAAGTCTTCTGTGCCAAGAGCAAGGGCAACTGGCTAATGAGTTTAATCTGTGGGTAGATTCTTACTCTAGCACTGGATAACAGTCCTGTGCTTTTTTATCACTAGGATACTAGAGGCTGTAAACATACAGTCTGAACAGTGTTATGTTAGAAAAGGGAAAAACAAAAATGATAAAACTAAAATTTTTCAGAAAACACAAAGCATGGCACTCTCCTGCCTTTGTTTTGCCTTGTATCAAGACAAAAACCCAGAACTGCTTTGATGTTTAAAAGCATGATGCACAACAGACAAGATGATGCTTGTAGTTCTATCAGGCCCAGGTGGCAGACCAAGTGGGTTCTGAACCACAGCCTGCAGATTGGCAGCAATCTGTATGGGCTAATCGAAGAATCTGCTTTAGTCTGAATGCAGGTGGGCAACTGAGAGGACAAAATCATGGTGTGTCTTAAGATGGGTTAATAATTGCACTGTTGGGTGGCCGTCACCTCCCCGGATAAGCAGGGTGAGGGTTTCTGACTGTAATGCACAGAGAATGTGGAGTGCATTTCCAAACTAGTCTAGATGCAGCCATGGACACATTGGATTGTAATCTTCCCCTGTGTTTAAGGGAGATGCTTTAACCAATCTTATTACTTCTACTTCTCTTCTTAGTAACCCACCTCACTTCCTTTCTCATAGGAATACTATAGAATAAGCACCCTTGCTTGGGTTGGTTTTTTTTTTTTCTTTCTTCCTTATCCCATAGCTAGAAACATATTATAAGAAGCCACTCTTGGACAGCCCTTCCTCTTCCTTCTGACCAAGGAAAGACAAACAAGAGTTAAGCTTCTAGAGCAAGCATCTGAGGCTATAGAGCAGACTTCCAACAACCTCTACTGAGGAACTTTGTGTCTTTTACAGTGGGATGTGGTTGAACAGCACTGTAAAGCAGGCAAGAATTGTCCATGATGAGCTGTGTAGGAGCAAATTACAGATTTCTCCTCACCTGAAATCAATGGAGAATAAACAACTTTGAAGCTCTGTATAGATACCTCAGATTCACCATCTCCTAAATCCTGTCCCTTCTACTGCTGTAAACAAATGCTTATGGAAAGCAGTGAAGTTTTCTTGTAACAGGGTTGTAGAGGAGTGATATAGTATTAGACATGACCTTCCAAGCTGTGCTCTATGCAATACAAACATGTTGCATGTATTTTTTGGTTTTTTTTTGTTGGTGGTGGTGTGGTTTTTTTGTTTTTTGTGTTTTTTTTAGGATATGAATGTGAACCCTTCAACAATCCAGCTGACTTCTTCCTTGATATCATAAATGGTGATTCAACTGCTGTGGCAGCAAGCAAGGAAGATCACAGACCTGTGGACACAGGAAAAGGTAAATTGTGAAGGAGAAATCCACTGTTGGCTGGTGTAGATAAGATGTATGTGGTGATGGCAAGCTTTTATTCTCTGAGCTTCCTCCAGTCTAAGGGCACTTCATCATCTTTTCATTTTTCCTACTAATAGATCTACTTTGCTTTGGGCTTCTTTAAAGAGCTCAGAGAACTTTTTAAAGGGATTTTTTTTCTTCCTTCAGTAATATAGGAGAGCAGTGATAAATACCAGTAATTTACAAAACCTGTGTGGGAAAGACTGAGAAACTAGAATTGCTTAGTCTCAAGAGACAGCTGCAGAAGACAGAAGTTTTCAGTCACATAAGAGGCTGCTGCAGAGAAGACAGGGTATCTACCCTGTCTACTTACAGGGTATCTACTACTGTCTACCCTTACTCCTTAAGGCTAAGGAGTAATGGATTTACAGGACAGTGAGAAAGGTTGGAACTAGATTAGAGAAAAAACTGTCTAACAATATAGTGAGTGAAATGTTGGGAAATATTTGTTTGGGGATGCTGTAGCATATCAGTGACTGAAGGATTATAAGTGAACAGTTTTCATAATGGTGCTTTTTGGGGATGGGAAATGGGTCAGAGCAAACATTAATTTCCCCAAAATTCAGTTAAACAAATCTTTTCTGGTGTCTCATTCTAAGAATAAGGCCATTTTTGTGCCACAAAGAACAGGCAGATTAGCTAGGTTTGATTGAAACTGTAGGG